GCTTTCGTTTCCAGAAAGTTAGTCTACTCAAGTAAATAATTATAAAAGCATAAAAACTTAGTCTGGAATAGGATCGGAAGTATTTTTTAGCAAAATTAATGGATAGCATAGTTGGAAAAAATTTATTTTATGCTATTATATATGGCTAGCTCATTTATCATATCCTGAAGCTCTCAATCTTATATCGGAATTGTACCCTTATAAGAATCATATTCTGATATGGCATTTAAACTCGCACTTACAAAGAATTTTCCAATCGTAACGATATTACAATTTATGATTACACAATGATTAAATTTGTGCTGTGATTTTGAGTGTATCATAGAATAAAACAATTGTACTCAGTTGGTTTAACTTTATGCTTTAGCATCTCTTCGCTTAAAATATAATTATACATTGTCCCAGACTTTTAGATATAAAAAAGAAAACCTTATCTTAAATCTGGACAAGTTTTTATAAAAAGAATTGGCTAAGTAGAATAAGAAGAGTTAGCTAAACTACAATCTCAATTTCTAAATTATAATTACGAAGCCTATTATTAACCTATTATTTCTTATGCAGTCTATTTTTAAAGGCTGACAGAGTAACTAAGTTAAAGAATTGTTATCACGTCCGGAAACCTTCTGATTTATATTGTTCTCGGTATGCTATCTTCTAACTTCAGTTATCGGTTTCTTACACAGAAAGTTTCCTTTCAAATTATTTTTTGACCCTCTAAATTGGCTTACATAGAAGTATCCACTATTGCATAGCAATGTATCTTTCCTCAAGACAGAATACTAAGCTTCTGCCCGCCTATTAAATATGCTTTGGCGAAAATTGCGGCCAAAATTGACTAATATAATCACTATCCTATGTCCTTTAAAGTATTTTCATTGCTTTATTTTCCTATAGGGCAGAGAGAAAACATATTAGACTTACTATAATTAAATTTATTAATTATTGTGACAATAATGAAGGCTCATCTCTCAATGGCAAATGGTAAAATTCTACTAATGACCAATTGGTGTTTAAGACTTGGACAGTTGATCGTCACTTGAAGCAAGAATGCGAATGCACGTCTTTTACAAGATATTTTTATTTAAAATATTTTTGCATTCATAATGGTCCAGTTCAGTCTTTTCCTTTGTTCTCGGGATTTAGACCCAGGATATGAGAACACGGAGTCAAAACTCTACCTTATGTGTGGGTTTCAGTATAGCTTCTAATATTTATAAAGATAAGTATTTCAATCAAAGTCTTTAAAAAATATCATATTGGTTCCAATTTAAAAACAGAATTTTGCTCGTCTTTTCGAGTTATCTTTTGCGTAGTTTTTACTTACATGGAAAAATTTCGCTTATAAAGTATTGTATGCCCTTTCGCTCGATACCTCTATTGACAGATTGCACCTTATGTTATCCCTCATTTTATTTTCCTTTCCAATATTATAACGTATTAAGTATGTTGGTGCAGACTAATAGTTTGCCACTTCATGTCGCATTGAAGATAAGGCGCAAGTGTTTCACCAAGGCATAACTCGAGTAGTGGTCTCAATTATTCGCTCTTAAGATGCGAAAAAAGACGAACACATTGGGTAGGACATTAAGGCCATCATTACATAATCGTAGAAAAATTCTGTATCAGTATATAGCAGACTTAAATACAGCCACTTGATTCACTATATTCATTGCATTATTTTAGGAAGCATTCATAGAGACAACTATTAGTAATGCGAACAGAGTATGTATATATATATATGCATTAGAATATGGCTAACTTTATGAGTAACTGCATGCGCATATTGGTTAATAAATATGATTTCTCAAAGTGTTTTTTGTAAATTACAAATATACAGGTATTTGGTTGACAACCCTTTGAATTGCGGCTGCCGGCTTAAGTGGTTGCAGCGTCTACTGGTGCATACCGAGGCCGGAGACAACCAATGGGCTCGCTGTGCTCAGCCGACTCGTCTGAGCGGACAGTTAATTCGTGAGCTGACGGATGAACAGATGCAATGCATTGAAGAGAGCTCAGATGGTAGGAAAGTCTTTCCAAAAATAGGATTTGAATACTGATCTCATCAATGATTTGTCTAAATGAGTATTATGTATCCTCCTTAGACTGGCAAATCTTCTTCATAAATTACGGGCCATGCATCCCAAAATTGCCCATCTTTGCTGTGACAGTAAATATTATTCATAGTTATCTCCATTTCGCCAATTAACCTCACGCAAGTATACAAAATTATTCATATCTTATCAGAATCAGCTGACGTACAATTAAAAAGATAATCATATAAAAAGGAATTTCAAAAAATCTTATCTTCCCATCCTGACTAGATATGGGGGCCTTGGATATCATTTCTTAAATTCGAAAATCGAAACAAACGACCCCAACTTTTGAGTCATAAAATATATAAATTTCACACTCAGTCACTTCATCTGTCATTGAAGAATTCCAGATACACTACTAAGATAAATTTAGAATTTGAATAAATTTTTACAAGAGCTAATCTATCTCCGTGTCTAAGTGAACTTTATAGTAATCCATCCTAAAATATTAAATAAGC